GGTATGTGGCCATCTGTCACCCCCTGCACTACACCATCACTATGAATCCCTGGCTCTGCATTTTGCTGGTTCTGGCATCTTGGATCACGAGTATCCTGTATTCTTTGCTACAAAGCAAAATGGTGTTAGACATTTCCCACTTTTTCTGTGAGCTGAATCAGGTGGTCCAACTTGCCTGTTCTGACACCTCTCTTAATGGCGTGGTCATGTATTTTACATCTGTGCTGCTGGGTGGCGGTCCCCTCACTGGCATCCTTTACTCTTACACTAAGATAGTTTCCCCCATTCATGCAATCTCATCATCTCAGGAGAGGTACAAAGCATTTTCCACCTGTGCCTCTCACCTCTCAGTTGTCTCCTTATATTATTTTACGGGTCTAGGTGTGTATCTTAATTCTGCTGTTACCCACAGCTCACATTCAAGTGCAGCAGCCTCAGTGATATACAACTTGGTCATACCCATGCTGAACCCCTTCATCTACAGTCTGAGGAATCAAGATACAAAGACAGCTCTGAAAAGATTATTTGGAAGAAAAGTATAAAAGGGCCAACTATTCTGGTATTGAAGGAAACCATGATGCAGAGCTTAAAGCACTTCAGAGCAAGAAATGACAAGATAGCTGTCTCTTGGTATCTTTGAGGGCTTGGTTTTAGGATCTCCTGCAGATACCAAAGTTCACAGATGTTTTAGTACCATATATAAAATGCTGTAATATTTGCATATAACCTATGGAAATCCTCTTGTATGCTTTTAATCATCTCTATAATTCATGTAATGTGTAACAAAATGTAAATGCTTCATAAAGACTTGTTATCCTGTGTACTTTTTAAAATTCATGTTATTGAATGTGATGTGCAAGGAAGGAAACACTTGAAAGGTGGAAATGAAAAATAATAAAAGTATAGGAAAATGAAAACATATAGCTTTTTCAAAAAAAATCAGTTTTTCTATAGGATACATGTACTCACTGGAGAGAGACAGAGACTGAGACAGAGAGAAAGTAAGAAATCATTCCTCATGGGGAATGACTATGCATTGATCCCTTCTCCTCCATTCCTCTGTCAGGGTTCTAGGCATGCATGCACCCACTCCCCAGTGGGTTTTTCAAGTGGCCCGTAAACTACATGGTCCCACAAAGGTCTTTCTTAATTTCAAATGACTGAAGTCCTAAACCTTAAACTGACCAGCTACGATATGAATTACATTTCTGCAATGGAGAATGGCATATATAATAAGACTGTCTCAGGGGCAAGCAGGTGGGCTGGTAGTTAAGGCACTGGACTCCAACATGACTGACCATGGATTGAATCCCAGACCCAGTAGATTGAAAATCACTCCAGGCATGTGTGAGTGCATTCCCAAAAACCTAAGAAGAGACTGGAGGAGAAGAGATTGCAGCATGGCTATGCCCCTGGAGGGTAGTTTCTCACTCTCTCTCTCTTTCACTCTCTGCCTCTCCAGTGAATATATATATGAATCATATGGCCAATACCTAAAAAAAAGAAGAAAAATTAATGCCTCCTCATACAATGGGGTTGTATAAAAATTAAATTAAACAGTCTTCATAAAGTGCTAAGTTCAAGTTATGATACATAAAAAGATCTAAATATATCTCCTCTAATTACCAAACATTGTATAATATGGTACTAAAAATAGTTCTTTTTTTTTTTTTTGGAGAGGTTTTTGCTATAGGGCGCATGCACTCGCCAGACAGAGAGAGACAGACAGAAAGCAAGAAATCACCCCTCAGAGGGGATGGCCACTCTGCAATCCCCTCTCCTCCATTCTCCTCTCGGGATCTTGGGCACACACACACACACACACGCACCTGGCGTGAGTTTTAAGCCACCAGGTCCGGGACTTGAACTACGGTCGACTACATGGGAGTCCAGTGACATAGCCATTACGCTAACTGGTGGTCCCCTAACAATAGTTCTTAACTTGTGATAGAAATATTAAATTATTTTTTAAAAACTTGTTTAAATTTATTATTATTTTAAAAATTTACTATAGGGCACATGTGCTCACTAGAGAGAGTCAGAGAGAGGAGGGGTGGGGAAATGAAAAAACAAGCTGCCAGGTCTACTCAAATCATGGTCAACGATGTAAGAGTCCAGCCCCATAACTACTACACCACCTGTCAGCCCCAATTATAAAATTCTAATTGTTTTGGCAAAAGTGTCATGAAGCCAACGCTTGTAATGCTCATCCATTTACATCAGAGAAAGTTTTCCCTTCCTGAAGAACAAAGAATTTTTTTGGTAGAGATATCAGAAATTGTTTCTCCACCAAGACTCAAGGTTTTGAAAACCTAGGGACCTAGTCAAACAGGTTCTTCAGTGTTTGACTTTGGAGAAACTTAAGCTAAAGGAGTTAGACCTTTGGAAGGCAGAAGAATTCACAAAGAGGGAGGAATAAAAATTGGATTTACCTCATTTATAATCCCATCCCTTGAGAGTATAGAATCAGTAGGAACAAATTTTTTCTGTCCAGATCAGTGTCCCACAGGGAAATCGTGTGCTTCAAAGTTGCAGTACCAAGAAGCAAATGTGTCTAATGAGCAGAAATAGGGAACTGTGGATATCTCCTCTGCTGTTGTCCCTCAGGGTGTGCAGCTTTGGGCTGAGTGAGACGTGGTTGTTTGTTAGGGAGTCCCAGGTGCATTATGGATGGAACAAATTTTTTCTGTCCAGATCAGTGTCCCACAGGGAAATCGTGTGCTTCAAAGTTGCAGTACCAAGAAGCAAATGTGTCTAATGAGCAGAAATAGGGAACTGTGGATATCTCCTCTGCTGTTGTCCCTCAGGGTGTGCAGCTTTGGGCTGAGTGAGACGTGGTTGTTTGTTAGGGAGTCCCAGGTGCATTATGGATCCACACTGGAGTCCTTTCCTCTGTCTTTTCTGGGGACAGAGCTTCCGTCTCATTCTTCAACAATCCAGGGAAGAACATGTACTTCTATAAGGAGAACATTCTCCCAGAGACCCCATACAGGTGAGACCAAGTGGTCAGTGGACACTGCAGAAGAGAAAGTCCAAAGGAATGAAACACGAGAATGCCTACCTGAGGTCATCTGAGAGCCAACCCCACCCTGGGCAGGGCAGGAGTGTTGTGGTGTTTGCTTTCCTGAGAGATGAGTTACTGTGTGTATTCATGAGGTGAAACCAAAAGTGAACGCTGATTTCAGAAATGTTGTGTGTATTGCTGACGATGATGATTGCTAGCAATGATGATACATTTTTTAATTTCAAGAAAAGCAGTTTTGTATTTAATAAATCAAAATCAAAAAATGTTAAGAGAACGTTGCTTATTACTGAAAGCCAGGAAACAGGTTAGGATTCTGTTCGAAGAGTAGGAACATGGACCTGTACACAACTAGAGAGAAGACAAAACTCCTTAACACTGGAAAACAAAGAATAGAAGGTCAGTAACGTTTTAGTCAGAAGTCATAAAATTCTATTTCACTAGTTCAAACTCATGTACTTAATCTTCTGTTGTGGTTGGATTTTTCTGTTTAAATTCTGGAAGTTAACATTCAGCTCTGGACTTGTCCCTACCATGAAGCTGGCCATTTTCTTAGCTGTTTTAGAATTTTTATTTCTGTGTGTCTGACTTTAGTTTTCCTGGGATAGCACTCCCTTCAGAACTTCTTGGAGAGCTGGTCTGGTGTTTGTAAATTTTTTCAGGTTTGGTTTATCTGAGAATGTTCTTGTCTTCTGGATATAGCATTCTTGGTTGAAATTGTTTTTCACTCAACACATTGAATATATTTTCCCATTCTTTCCTTGCTTGTGTTGTTTCCAATGAGAGGTCTGGTGTTACCCTGATGGGATATCCTTTGTGGGTAACTTGATGTTTCTCTCTTGCCAGTCTGAGTATCTTGTCTTTGTCTGTGGTTTTGGCCAATCTGGCTATAATGTGCCTTGGGGAAGATCTTGGGTTGATCCTATTTTGGGTCCTTTGTTTTTCTTGGGTCTGGATCTTTGAATGCCTCTCTAAGTTTAGAAATTTTCAATGCCCTTCTTAGTCTCCTTACCTTATGGGATTTTACTAGTCCAGCAATTTTGTCAGCTACATCTGATATTTGATTTTCTGTATTATCTAGTCTACTTTTAATACTTTCAAAGGAGGTTTTGACCTCCTCTGTAGTATAACCTTCATCTTCAACAGTTCCATTTGATTCTTTTTTATGGTGTGTATTTCTTCTTTCAGCTCTTGCAAGAACTTCCTCAACTCCTGGAACTCATGGGCTTTTTTCTTCTGTCTCTCTTCTCTTCTATCTCTGTTAGCTTTGTCACTAGAAATACTCTAAATTCTTTATCAGACATTTTCATGAGTTCCATTGTACTCTGTCGATGAAGAGGAGTTATTCTTATCCTTTGGAGGTGAGGGATTTTCTTGGTTTCACATATTTCTTGTGCTTCTGTGGTGACTTCTAGTCATCTGATGGGTTGTTCATTTCTTTCCAATTTTAAAAAGATAGTCTGAACGATCAGAGGTGCATAGGAGGACATGGTCTGCAAACTCTTTGGTGTTGTGTTTTTTCTCTCTTTGTGTCACAGATTCAGTGGGAGTTGAGGAATATGAGGACCCAAATGGTATTCAGATTTTGGCAACTTTTCACTTAGACTTGTCTAGATACTCAGTGGGTGGGGGCTGAGCAGCAAAGTGATGAGGTAAAAGAAAAAGGGTAAGGGGACCAGCAGTTAGCGTAATGGCTATGTCGCTGGACTACCATGTAGTCGACAGTGGTTCAAGTCCCTGACCCGGTGGCTTAAACTCATGCTGGGCACGTGTGCGTGCGTGCCCAAGATCCCGAGAGGAGAATGGACGGGAAGGGATTGCAGTGTGGCCATACCCCCTGGGGGTTGATTTCTTGCTTTCTGTCTCTCTGTCTCTCTCTGTCTGTCTGGCGAGCGCACGCACCCTATAGCAAAAACCTCTCCAAAAAAAGAAAAAAAAAAGGGTAAGAAAACAGAGCAAGACAGAAAGAAAAACAAAAGAGAAAAATGGAAAAAGCAAGCAAACAAACAAACAAAATTTATTTGTTAATTTTAAAAAACAAAAATGAAAACCTGGCTTGCTTTCTCTGTTTGCCAGGGTAAATTCTCAGTAGAACACCTTCATTGTCTTATCGCTGAAATCACTATATCTCAGTTCTCACGGCAGACTCAGTCTCCTTCTGGCCTGATCTCTCCGTTTGCCTAGATGGCAGGGGGAAAGGGGAGGGGATGATAAAAGAGGATTTCAGAGTCAAGAAAAAAACTTCACCTTAAAAATTACAAAAAAAAAAAACAAAAAGAAAAAACAAGAAAACAGAGACAGAGAGACAGAAAGAGACAGAGAGAGGCAGAGAGATGGATACAGGGTCTCCACCAGGGTAAATTCTCAGCAGAACATCTTCATTGCCTTATTGCTGAAATCACTATATCTCAGCTCTCATCGTGGACTCAGTCTTCTTCTCTGCATCAAATGTTAGTGTCTCTCTCGCTCTTTTTTATGACTGAGTAGTATTCCATACAGTCCACTCTCTTCCTTATACCT